TTTTATGTAAGTTTCATGAGTTGTATTAATGTTTTTCTTGTTTTTTCGTTGTGGATTGATAGAGTTTATCTGGCTTCAAGAAGAACACCGAAACCAAGGAGCTTATACGTTTGTTGCTCCACGTCTTCAACAATTGTTACCAAACGGTGCTGAGGTAAGATTATTACTTTTTGTTTAAATTGTTTTCGTAGGTTCATTCGTCAAATCAATGTTTAACTTTGGGACTTCTCTCTCTCTGTTTCTATAAATTTTAGCTTCAGTACCGTGGTCGTGGACCTATGGCAGCTCCTGCTACTGGTATTGGATCTAGACACAAGGTTGAACAGGCAGCTGTTATCGCCGGAGCCTTCAATTAAACATTCTCTGTTACTTTAAATAAGTTTTATAGTTGTGTTTTTTTTATTAATGTTTGTTGAGATTCACGGAGGTTTTTGGGAGTCTTTTCTTATTCTTCGGATAATAAAACTTGCAGTTTTCATGTCAAGAATGTTTAGCATGTTTCTTTCCCCTTTTTTGTCCTTCTTTTGTAATATTTCTACCTTTTTTCTGTTTCTTGTTTTTTGTTTTTTAGCTACAAAATATGACGCACTTAAACGTAGTGACGTCAAAAGAAGGGCAAGTTGCTATCAAACGATCATTTCTTTCTATTACGGCTACATGTAGAGTCACTAATACTTTAACCCAGCGGTTTAATGCTCTGTTATTCGGCAATACACTTGACAAGTACGCCCAACCAACACGTGCGAATTATTGTATTCTGTAGACATACGTCATAAAAATTCCTGCACTGAGAAAAAACAAAGAAGCCCCTTTTCACACTTCCACCCGTTAAAGATCATTTTGTTGAATCTGTTGCTATACTATTTCTTCAAGATCTGTGTATACTCTTTAACAACCAACCATAAGCAATGTGGGCCGCGTCGATCAAGCGTCCTGCAACGCGGAGAGCTATAACAGCTGTGATGGCAGTGGGATCAGGAACGGCGATCATTGGAGCCACCATCCTCTACAACAACAACAACAACAACAACAAATCACTCGATCCAAATTCACAGCAATCCAAATCCTCCTCAATCTTATCGCGACTCTATTCTCCCCTCTTCAACAACCCAATCCACGCAGAACAACAACAACAACAACAACAAGAACAAACAACTGCAGCCATCGATGCAGCAATGACATCTCATTCCCAAGGTGACGGACTCTTAAAACGATCAGCAACAGCTGCAGGTGGTCCACCAACAGATCCAGCCCAAAATTGGATTCCACCTTCAAGAGATGAAATGTTGAATATGTTAAAGGGGAATCAGAAGGATGGGAAACCGATTCCTGATGATGATGTTAGTGCGAGACGGGATTTTGATTTGTTGATTGTGGGTGGTGGTGCTACTGGTGTTGGTTGTGCTTTGGATGCTACTACGAGAGGACTTCGCGTTGCCTTGGTTGAGAGGGATGATTTTGCATCTGGTTTGTTCATCTTTTGCTTTTCTTTTGATTGTTGGTTGTTTTGTATTCTTGAAAGCATCGGATCTTGCTTTCAAAAAAAACATATGTCAGACCATGTCATGTTCTAACCTCATTGAAACAACACAGGAACAAGTTCCCGCTCAACAAAACTCGTTCACGGCGGAGTCCGCTACCTCGAAAAGGCAGTAATGGAACTCGACATTGAACAATACAAACTAGTAGTAGAGGCCCTCCACGAACGTGGAATCTTTTTAAAAATAGCTCCATACCTCTCCTACCAATTACCAATCATGCTTCCTATTTATCAGTATTGGAAGATTCCGTATTATTGGGCTGGTTCCAAGGCTTATGATATTTTGGCTGGGAAGGAAGGGCTTTCTCATAGTTATTTTTTGAGTAAGAGGAGGGCTTTGGAGGCTTTTCCTATGTTGAAATCGGATCGGTGTGTTGGTGCTATGGTTTATTATGATGGTTGGTGTTTGTTTGTTGTTCTTCAATTTGGTTCATGTTGACTTAAATGTGTATATTTGAAACTGTTTTGATTACACAGGTGCTCATAATGATTCTAGAATGAATGTTGCGATCGCGTTGACAGCGATTGCTCATGGCGCTGTTGTTGCAAACCACGTTGAAGTTGTCGAGATTCTCAAACGGAAACGAACTACCCTCATTGGTAAATTTGGACATGGTGATCAGGAAATCTATGGTGCTGTTGTTAGAGATACTCTTACTGGAGATACATGGACTGTTCGCGCCAAGGTGTGTATTTTTTCTGGCAGCGGAATTGGTAGCGAATTCTTGCCTGATTCTCCCTAACAACCTTGGGTTTATTTGACAATAGGGTGTGATCAACGCTACCGGTCCTTTCTCTGACAGTCTACGAAAGATGGATCAAGGTATTACCACAAAGGAGATTGTTGCTCCAAGTGCTGGTGTCCATATTATCCTTCCCAACTATTACTCTCCTCGTCGTATGGGTTTGTTGGACCCCAACACCAGTGACGGTCGTGTTATTTTCTTCCTCCCATGGCAAGGCAACACTATTGCCGGTACAACTGGTAAGCCTTAATTCTATCCCGAATCTCAAATAATTCAAACAACAAAATCTCATCAACCTTTATGATTAGATTCACCAACAAGTGTCACCTACGACCCAATCCCCTCAGAAAAAGACATTGCCTGGATCCTGAAAGAAGTTGAAAACTATCTCGACCCTGCTATCAAAGTTCGTCGTGGCGATGTTCTTGCAGCTTGGTCAGGTATCCGTCCATTGGTTCGTGACCCTGCTGCAAAAAATACTGCAGCCCTTGTTCGTAATCATATGATTAATGTTTCTGAATCTGGCTTGTTGACAATTGCTGGTGGGAAGTGGACAACTTATAGAGCTATGGCTCAGGAAACTATTGATAGAGCGATTGAAGTGTTTGGTAAATATCCACTCCTTATAATATTTATCTAGGATTAACAAAGAAAAGAATGCTAACCACTAAAAATAATTAGACCTCCGTCCAACCGGCCCCTGCGCAACCGAAAGAACGGTCTTACTAGGTTCCCACGGATGGAGTCAAAACATGTTCATCAAACTGATCCAACATTTCGGTATCGAGACTGAAGTTGCGCAACATTTATCGGAATCGTATGGTGACCGTGCGTGGGCTGTTGCAGCTATGGCGGCTTTGACGGGTCATCGATGGCCTATTTTTGGAAGGAGGATTGCTGCTGGGTATCCTTACATTGAGGCTGAAGTTCGTTATGCTGTTAGGAGAGAGTACGCTTGTACCGCTGTGGTAAGTTTAAAACTGATTTTTTCCTTTTCTGTAATTTCGGTGTAGGAAATGTCAAGACGTGATTATTAACCTTCCGTTTTGATATGATTGTTAGGATGTCTTGGCTCGTCGTACCCGTTTGGCAATGTTAAACGCACAAGCCGCAAAAGAGGCACTCCCCCGCGTGATCGAGATCATGGCCGAGGAACTCCACTGGACACCCGACCGTCAACGTGAAGAATACGAAAACGCAATCAAATTCCTCGGTACCATGGGTCTTGAATTACCACCGACACCCATCGATGGTACCGTTTCAACTCCAACTGATGACACGACATTCTACACTCGTAGTCATTTTGTTCCTGAAGAATTGGCGAGGTACAAGGCTGAGTTTAGTCGTATGGATGCTGATGGTGATGGACGGATTGGTGAACGGGATCTTGGGAAGGTGTTGAAAGGGTTAGGTGTTGTGATGACTCCTGCTGAAATGGAGAGGGTGATTGCTGAAGTTGATTTGAATAAGAATGGGGTTATTGAGTTTGGAGAGTTTTTGGAGGTGCTTGCTGCTGTCAAAGAGATTCGACAGAGGAGTCGGTTTGCTAGGATTGTTGCTGAGATGGAGGAACGGAAACAGTTTAGTACCGTTAGAAGTGGGGGTGGTGTTTAAAGGTTGATTGTTCTTTCTATTCTAGTTTTTTTTAAAAATGGGTTAGATGTTTCTTTGATTTTTAAATGAGTCTTTTTAGGGGTTTGTTTTATCTCTCTTCTCTCTCTAATTTGCTTGCTTTCCTTTTCTAATTTTTACTCTCACTGAATACGTTCTAAGTTAGTTGTTGTCTGTTGTTTTTGTTTTTTTTTCAAAATGTAGTCTGTGTACCTTTGTTTCTGCTTTTTCTGCAGTCATGTTTGAACTTTTGTTTTTGTGTATCCTCTTTTTCTTTTTTTCGTTTGTTTTGTTTATTCCTTACTATTAATTAAATGGAACATCGATAAAAGAACGAAGCTAAATGTCGAACGTTGTCGCTTTTTGCTCTCCTTTTTGAAGTTGTAAAAATACAGCAAACATTGCTAACATCAATTGCAATGAAAGAAAAAACATTGGGTCAATAATCTATGCCATATGAGCTCAAAGAGCGTTGAGAATAACAAACCAAACTACATCATAACATTTTGACTCTTCCCTACTTGTTACCATGACCTCAGAATTCAGTGAGCTGTCATTGAACGCGCTTGGAAGAACCAAAAAAAGGCAAGTAAAGACGCAAGGTCAGTTTTGCTTTTTGTTCCTGAATTCAAAATTCCGCATGGCTTATTGAACACCAGTGCTACAACAGCATTAGGCTGCAGGAGCACATCGACATCAGGACTAGAATAGATAAAGATGATCATGATTCGAAAACTCGAATGGGATTAACGCGTGCGAGATGTCTAGAACATTGTGAATAAAGACGATCGTGACTTCAATCCAAAAACAAGACTTGAAATGCCATAAGGCATGGAGGAGGCATTTAAGACATTGCGACCACAAAAAACAAAGATGATCATAACACCTATAAAATATCGAAACAGCAATCATGAACTATTTTATATAATCTCACGAAAACAAAAGCTAATGCTTGCTCCATTTTTGGTCTGAGACAAGAAGCAGGAGCCGTTTTATTAATCACACTTCAAAAGTGAAGAATAAAGCATTTATTTATAACTTTATCATAATCTGATCACCACCAAAAGCTGATGGTTGCTCCATTTTGAATTCGCGAAGCAAAAGCCCGTTTAGCGGAGTGGTACCGCATCGGCCTCCGGAGCCGGGGATCGTGGGTTCGAACCCCACAATGGGTGGCATTTTCTTTTTCCTGTGTAAACTAACCCTTATTTTTTTTGGCCATTCAATCCCCATCGATTGATATTAAACGATGTCGAAAAGTTGGGTTTTTTCCTGCAACCAACCTGTTTTTTGTGCCATTCGACGCACCTGGTAAAGACGCATCGATTGATAGTTAAACGATGTGGAAAGGTTGCATATGGATGGAGATAATCGCGTTTAAATGAATGAACGTAGTTCCATGCATGACAACGAAATATTTTTTGGCTCTTCCACCAATATACAATGTATCAAGATGGTTGAACTATGAATAGATACACGCTTAAACGGGCTATCAAAAGATGGAACAAACAATACAATTGATGGCTTGATTTTGATTCTTTTTGAGAGATTGTAATCTAAGGTGCCATGTTGTTCAATTACTTTTGTTTTCTTTTTAGTGAAAACTATAAACGGTCCAAATGCAGTAAGAAAGACAAAAATGCTCTTCAATCTTCCCTCTACCAGTTAATGTTTCCGTGATTCACGCGTCGACAACGTTATTATTTTCGCAGCCCCTTTTTATCGTTTGTTGTTTTAGGCGTTTTTGATGTTTGTTTTGTTTTTCTACGGTGTTTTATCATATTTCATTATTTCTTCTCTCATTTCATCGTTCTTTTCCGCTCTGTGTTGAATTCAAAAGGCACGGCATAAAAAACCCAGCGGAAAAGGTCATCTTCTTTCTAAAGTTCTTTTATACTTTCACAAAAACACTACTATACTTTCACAAAAACACTACTTGTACGAAAAAAAAGAAAAAAAGAACGCTCCTATTACTTGTACAAAAGAAAAGGAAAAACAACGTTTCGTACTGTTTAAAAACTACACAAAACGAAAATCAAAATGTTGCTAAATACAGAATAGGACAAAGAAAATAAACTATAATTCAAAGTTTGATTGATAAGAAAAGAAACTGCATACATACGTAGACAACACAAATATAGTTCACAAAATGTCCATAGCCGGAATAAAGAAACAAAAACTAAACAACCATAGATATACAAGTCTCAAATATCCTACTGCCTTTTCCTTTGCTTTCCACCACCAACTTTCTTAGCAGAAATGTTGGGATGAGGCTGCGGGACATCAGCCAGCACCATTGACCGTGGGAATCGTTTACTGCCACCACCACCGCTGCTTTCCCCAACACGCTTAGATGAGGACGTTCCACTAGTACCTCTTGTGACGCACTCGCCAATCTCACCGCGCAGAATCAAAAGTAATCTCCGTGACTAGATGACCACGTAAAGCAAATTGCGCGTTTTATGACAAGGGCTATGATATATCCAACACAGTGTCTGGCATAGATTTGAAACACATTGATCCACAGTTGGCAGATCTATCGCGAAGATATCCTACAAATATGCTCACATTGAATTTCCTTGACGTAGATTTAGAAACGAAATTCCGGCAAGGCACGAATAGCCAGTGTTCGGCGTTTCTTTGCAGTAATGGTGTCACTCTTTAGAGTAGTCGTGGCGGGTTTGTGTACTTTAACTTGGCCAATGCTGCAAAGATGTATGGTAAGTTACCGCGATAAAAGAGACTGTTGATTTTGTTCCTCAAACTTTGACTAAAAATCCCCACAGAAGTAATTGCTTGTGTAAGTCCTCGAGAAGAAAGCAGATTTCTTTTATATCTCACCTAACATACATGACATTCACGTGCAGCTTGTTACCGTCGGTTTCACTATGGCGATGTTTTTGCATGTTCGTCACATCATATCTCGTGGAAAACACCGCAATGCACACATAATCTCCGAGTTTTATAGGTTTGGTTTTTGGCCTCTTGCATTGTAAGTGTTACATCATACCCAGGCGTCCATTCGCTAAAGCTTTCTTGTTAAATCAATTATTGATTCAGTGTGGAGTCGACTTGACGTACAGATTCCTTCTACATTCCCTTCAACAAACTTGGGTAAATCCTCGTAAGTTTCCTTTGTAGCATTAAATATCCTATTCTCTGACTTAGTTATCTCAATAGCCTGGATGCTTATGATTCAATCTGTCAGACATTGCGGTTAGGCGTACCAGCTGCATTCATTGTCACATTCACACCAGTCGCACTCAAGTAAGTGACTCAATATCTCAAAGTTGAATCACTTATTAACTATTACTACAAGCTAATTATATCATCGATATTCGTTAGTTTTTTTTATGATTTTGGTGATTATAAGCCGAGACTTTATCTGGGAAGTTTCACGCTCTATGCATATTAGCGTATGTTCCACAGAAGATCGCTCAAATCATTGGTTTTAACGAGTTCGTTACAGGCTGGGACAATCAACTGGTTACCTCAGCACAACAGCTTTAGAAGCAGTGTTTGAAAAAACCAGTGGGCAAATTTTTCTTTTGCTGTTGGAATTAAGCAACGAGAAGGGGTTTGAGCTGACGGATGGAGCAGTCAGCATGGGCACGGCCATAGTCATGCAGCTCGTTGAACAAGTTAGCAAGGTAATATTGTAACCAGCGTCAGGGATTACTAGCTTCAACCTTCCTACTCACACTTTGTCTAACCTGAAATGCAGCCCTCATTTCCACACCCACCACAAAATTTGCAAAATAATTGAAAACTCTGATGAATTAAGACTCCGTCAGCGCAAAGCTATGGGACTCATCAGTAGACGTTTCAACGGAGTCTGGGAGCGGCATTTTCAGTCTTGGAACACCCATGAAATTGTACGTCAGATTGTTTCATATAATTGAAGGCTGCGGAGCCATATTTCATGTTTGTTATGACCCATATAGGTAAATGACCACATTTCTTCGAGCTCTGTTTATACGACAAGATCAGTTGTTCTAAAGCAGCCAAAAAGTATTTGTTCAGGCCAAACACCATCACAGAGCTTTTGCCCGAGTGACTCTGTTGGACTATTTATTTTTCAAACGAGGCTTGAAGTATTGCTGCCGCTATATGCAATTGGTGTGGTGAAACTTTTCTACGTGCACCTAAACACCCCTCATCACAACATAACAGGACATATCACATCCAGGAGATCCTTTCGACATGTGTTCTCTGCTTTTCAACACGTCAAGTATTGTTCATTGGAGTGTTCAATTACGTATATATGTCGGTCGCATTTCAAGTACCTCTAGAGACGACACTGACTTCTGGATTGATATTGTTGCTGACTGCAGCCTGTATCGTTGTGTTTTCTATTGGGAACAAGGAGATTTGCCACAAGCATTTCGCCGTGCTTATTTTATACGGGCTGGCTATTGGTAACGTTTAGTCTAAATATGACTTTGGTGAGAGATTAGAAGCAATTGTAGATGTAGAAGATGACAGCAATGAACCCACGCATACAAACTTACTTGAAAATATACTTGCAATGATCTTGTTTACTCATTTTTAACCTTTGCGCGGTCAAAACCGGCTTTTTGAAATAGGGAATAGAAGTGAAGGATTGCGGACGAGAGCCTGTTCTTTGTATAGGATTTAAATGTAAATCCCGGAAGTTCCTATTACACAGATACTTAAAACTATGCAGGCGAATCAACGGACATCGTTTTTGTAAATCCGAAGGTTATTTATTTCCCACCCCTTTCTGGTCGATATTAAGAACCGTTTCATATATGCGACATGGAGGAGATATCAGATAACCTCGATCTGGTATATCGAGTGCCCATTGACGAAGCTACGAGTACGGCCTCGAGTCGAAAATTGCCGCCCCATATGTTACCACCAATCGACGTGAAGAGGACCTATCCCTATGATGACGGCAGTGTCGACGACATTGATAAATTCAATGCCGAAAGCAAACCTATTACTGCGATTATCAAATTAGATGAACCATTGAAACAAATCGTTCGTTTAATCAATATGGGTCCCAACATCGCTCAGAGTTCTTCCATCATTGACTTTACACGCGTCGAAACATTGTTGGAAGATTTAAAGATATGGTACCCTCGGCATGTATTTACGATGAGATTTCTTGATTCAAACCTTGAGACGGAATACATGGATGGATTAAATGCTAGAATGAGCGGCATCCGGCGACTGTTCGCATTATTGGTGTCTATTTTCATTATTCTTGTGACTGCTGTATCTTATCTAAACTGGCCGGAGGATATCAGAACCTATCGTGAGTTACGCGATATTACCATTAGCTTGATCTTTCGCAGCAAAGTGACTGACTGAGTTCATTGACATGATTGAAAGAGATCATTACGTGTGTGAGTTACAATCCTGACTGTAAACGTCAGCAATGCATATCTTGTAATAACGACATATATATTTTTTGCAGTCACTATCATTGCTGTCGAGCTTGGTCATGTTTATGCACCTGCGCTTTATTATGCCTCGACGAAATCATAAGAATGCTGACAAAATATGCGCGAGTTACCTATTTATCTTTGAACTGTCTTGCTTTGTAAGTTACCTGATTTCTACCTTGCAGATCGTTCTATCAAAGAGTTAACACCAGTCAATATAAAAGTGCGGTATAGACTTGGTCTACAGATTTCTCGTGCCCTCTCTTCAACAAGCTTGGCTGAATCCTCGTAAGTTTTACTAAGTCATGTATTCTGGTTAATCTTTTTCTAACTAAAAAGCAATCTACAGTTTGGTCTCTTGTTATTCAATCCATCTCACTTCTTCGACTTGGCGTGCCGGGAGCATTTTGCATCACTTTTATCCCAGTTGCGCTCAAGTATGCAGATATGTTTGCAGTAATGAAGCTGAAAGTAGTCTAAATGATACCATTCACACGTTCTCAATAGCTACGCGATTACAAGCATATATTTCGAAGAATTTTACAAATATAGTGACTTTTGGCCAAGAGTCTATCTGAGCACATTTGCTGTGTATGCTTTGGGGTAAATAAAGTTGTGGATGTCATTCTTTCGCAAAGCTTATTTGGTTATTTTCTGAGGTCTTTGAGCATCACTGCGTTAGAAAGAGTGTTTGAAGAAACTAGCAGGCAAACATTCACCGTGTTGATGGAATTACGCAACCGAAATATTTTCGAGGAGGATGG